AATGTGACATGAGGCCTCCATCAGTTGACTCCAGCTGTCACTCACTGGTAGATTTGGAACATAAAAGTGTACATGTCTTTAAAGAATAAATACCCACTTCCTACTAAAAACAAAACAGAATGAAAAATGACAGTCATACTTTTTGCTTAACAGATATGAGTACTTATTACGTCTTAAGTATTGTGCTTACAGAAGCTATCAGGATACACAGGCCACAGTTTCAGCCTGATAAAGCTCACAATCAAATGAAAATGAAGAGCTATGCAATGAAGATGGGACTGCTGAATAGATTTGCTTGTTTGTTTGCTAATACCTGGGATAGTCTGAATAGACTGATATACAACGTGGCCAGGACACAAAGGCATTCAGAGGCAAGGTTAAGCAGGACAGGCAGACATGAATGGAATTCTTGGTCTTGGTTGTGTAAGAACCATGCTCAAACAAATTGAAATGGAAGAACAACACATGAATGCACGCCTGGGTGAAGCTACAGAAGGTACACTTTTGCAGTACAGAGCCTAGGTTCCTCCTATGCCTTTGTAGATAACCACCAGCAAAGACACAGAGCGGAAGAGATCTTAGATGTCATATGTCAACCCTCATCCAATATGTGAATAAATGCCTTCTACATTTGGCTAGCTGAGATGGCATCTCTAGGCACATGACAGGGAAGTGAGGGGTAAGTCTGGGCTACTTTCAGGATTAGTCCAGGCCATGGGAATAAAAGGGCCACTGAAATGATCCTTTCCTTTTTTCCTCTATTCTCGGTTGTGGTCAAGGCCAGTTTCCCCTCAGACTGTCCTTCCTTGTGGTAATCTGCCCAGTACAGGCTAGCCCATAGGAAGATTAGTGTAAGAAAAGCCGTAGGAGAGAAAATAAAAGAGGAGGAAATATGTGCCAGAAAGTCAGGGGAAAGCAATCTGACCTCCAATTATAGTACTATCCATCCCTTTACCGGCTTCTCTCTTCTTAACTATGAGTACTTGTGGATACCCCAATGTGAAGTAAGGTCAGTTATCTTTTTTATAATTATCCATCATATGATTAAAATTATCCCAACACTGATAGAGAAGATTATGAGCATTTTAAATATGAGAAAAAATGGGTCCCATCCAAGGTCACACAGGTAATATGTAGTGGAGACAATACTGGATTCTAGCCCTCTAGATTTCAAGTTCAGTGTTCTGTCCCTACACCACAGTTTACCAATCTACAATACATCTCCTTTAATAGGAAGCATAAAGGACAGAAAAGACCAAGTTAATTAACTACAAGAGTGGGGTTAGCACTTGGAAATCTGTAAGTCTCTAGAAAAGTACTTAGCAAAGACACCAGCTTCTTTTTTAAAAATATGGACACTAGAAAGTTTTATTAGATTATAAAACCAAGAGCAAACAATTTTGCTTTAAAAATACAGAACTACAACTGGCAATCTCCTTGGTGGGCCATTAACATTAACTATCTTACAGCCTCTTTTAGAATGTAGTGGTTAATTTTATAATCTAATTAAAATTATGTGGGAAATTTTATGAAAACATATTGAAATGTAAAATGGTCTACTGACAAGGACTGAACTATTATGATGACAAACTATATTCCAACAACTTTCACTGAATCTGTGACCTTGGATAAGTCACTAAACTCATTCTCCTTGATTTCTTTATCTACAAACTACTGCAATTATAAAAATTGCAAGAATATTGCTCACAAGGAAATTGTGAAGAACAATGTGTGTGAAATAGGCTTGAAAAACTTTAATTCCCCAGGATAAACCTTTAAAAAATATATTGTAAAATAATAAGAAAAACAACTACTAAGAACAACTACTAGGTTAAGTTCACAAGGAAAAGGGGAAAAACCTACTGTTAACAACATATTTTGTATTTACTCAGAAATTATATATAATATGCCTTTCTTCCAAAAAAGATTTGGATAAGCTAAACCTTGTCTTTATGATGCCTACTAATCAAGTCTAAATCATATCTTAACTCTTTTATTTATGTGAGGTAAAAGTGATGCTTTTCCTCAGAGAAAAATTAAATCCTCCCAATATTCATGTTCAAGACTTTTGTCTCAAAGAAAAAGTGTATCCACAAAACCATGCAAGAAAGTACTGCTTTAGAAACAGATTTCTTAAAAGAGAGTGCCTTACATACAGATCTTTATAGGCAGGTGGAATCATGTTGTCAAGTAACTGCAATAACTTTTTTTTTTTTTTTTTGTAAAACAGTTTTAATCCCACCCCCTATTAAGTCATTAACAATTAAAATAAGACCCTCCAGGGAGCAGATTTCCCATTTCATCACTTAAGGTCACCATGGCTTGCTTCCTACCTCTCTTCTTTTTTACCACTTGTCAAACTAGAATGGAAGGCAGGAAGGCAGCTCATGTAATTGGTCCATTTCCAGGCTGAGAGCAAATTTGATGATAAATTAAGTGAAGAGAAAGCTGGCGGGATAAATTGCTCAAATTCACTGCTCTGGAGAAGCTGTTCCTATACACAAGTTACTAGGAAATCATATTGACTCTAAAGGTAACCTGCAATCTATCCTTGATAGGCTTTCCTATTTTAGAAACTATGAAAGAACTACATCATGTGAACACATTATCTCATCCAACTTTAGTTTACATTGTTTCATTAGTTCCATTATTTCGACACAGACTGAAAAATCTTTCTGATAAGAAACTTTAGGGGCCACTATCCTTCAAAACAAGCAACAGAAATGCAGAACAAGCAAATCATTACTGATGGAGGCTTTCGGTTTTACTAAAGCTCAAGAGAACAAAGTGATCCTAACGGATTACATGACCTAAGGAAAAAAGGAGGGAAAGGAGAGAATGCATAAAAGTTTGAAGAAACAGTATATTCTGTTCTCCGCTTCCAATGTACAATTTAGTAAGAAGCCACAAACAGAGAAATCTCTAGGATGACCGTTAGCTGGCCTGAATTTTCACAAGGCAGCAAGATTTGTGGCAGATGATATGACAGAGCAGAAGCCTGCTTGAAAAAGTCCTTGAATACATGTGCTTTTGAAGGGCTGAAGGTACTTCTGTGGCAGCGTTGTTCACACTCCTGTTATTTAACATTGGCAGACTACCAAGTCAAACGCTTTACACACCTTATGATGGCTACTTTAGTAAAGCTGAGCCTGATATGGGGAATACTAGAAGAAATACAACTATGTGGATTTCCTCTGACAGAGAAACCACGCTAGAAGTATCTCACAGCACCAGGAGACTTGTAAAAGAATGTTCACAGCAGCTCCTTTCAAAACTAGGCCTATCAAAAGTGAACACAGACAAATAAATAGTAGTATTCTCATACTCAGAAGACTCTAGAGCTGTGCTGTCCAACGTGGCAGCCACTAGCCATATGTGGCTCTGAGCACTTGCAGTGTAGCTACCAGTGTTTTGAGCTATGTTGTGAGGTGTGTAACAGAAACCAGATTTCACAGACTTAACATGAAAAAAAGTAAAATAACAACATTTTTCTTGAACATTTACGAATATTATGATATGCGTTGGATCAATATTTTAGATATACTGAGCGAAAGAAAACATACTACCAAAATTAATTTTACTTGTTTCTTTTTCACTTCTTAAAATGTGGCTATTAAAATATTTAAAACTATGCATGTGGTTAATATTCTATTTCTATGGGAAGGTTCATGTTATATTTTTACTAGACAGTGCTTCACCAGATGAATAAATTACAGGTATGTGAAAAAATATGGGTAAATCTTAACATGATTCTGAGTGAAAGAAGTCAGGTAATATAAGAATCATACTGTATTATTCCATTTATACAAAGTTTAAAAACAGATAAAACTAAATCAATGTTTAATGATGTCAAAAACAACAAAACACAAACTGCAAAGGAAGTGATAACTATAAAACTAGGCAGTGGTTACTAAGGGGAAGAGAAAGGAACTTGTGACTGAAAGGGGGTACTTGGGGCCCTCTCAAGTGCTAAGAGTCATCTATTTCTTGACTTGGGTGATAGTTCACTTTGTTAATCTGCACATTCATATTATATGTACTTTTCTACATTTTCATATCTCGCAATTTTTAAAGTTTACAAAAAAGGACCTCAAACTGCTTTTTTGAAACATTTTTATTTGCTGTATCAACTAACCCACTAAAGAAAACCTAAAAGAATAGGGTTGAGAGACTAGTCCTAGATTTCAAATCAATATAAATAAAGAAATGTAACAACGTTAGGTCCCAGAGCTGTTTAGTCAAAACTGCATTACTTTTTTCAACATTTTTAAATATTTTTAAAATTATGTCCAAATGTTTTAAAAATACAAGCAACCTATGTTTTGACAACATTATTTATCTTATATTAATGTACTCTAGGAAATAAGTGGTACGTATATTTCTGAAAAGTTGCACGTATATATTCTTGTAAGTTGACATATTTGCACTGCATAAAATAAACACTCAATAAATGTGTTTACAAATAAATGAGAAAACATGTTCAATGTATAAAAGATTTAAAAGAAACCTTTTTGTATTTTCTTATACAAAATATTCACATTCCAAATTCTCTCTAAACAAGCTCTAATGTTTTTCTAAAAACAATTTATTTTCCTAATATGAGGCAATTGATCAGAAACTTTCCTGCACTGGAAAATAAATTTTAAAAGAAAATGAAAAAATTCACAATAGGCACAAGTCAGTGCATTGACAAGGGTGAATTAAATAAGTGCTCTGCATAACTAATATCTAGTACTTGATGAAATGTGACTAAATATAAAGGAAGTATAAGAACCAAGCTTTAACATGTATGATTTTTCTGAGCACAAAAGGCTTGGCACCTAACACAAAACACTTCAAAAGAAATATTTTAGAATACAAATGTAAAAATCTCTTTTGACCAACTAAGAGCAATGCTGATGACCTATTTTACATTTAATTCATTTTTATGCAGAATAATTGAATTTATAAGTGAAAAAGGATCCAGAGAGGACATTTAAAGAGTCAATGTCTATACTCACCATGAACTTGGTTGATTTCTGAATTTTGGGAAAGAATTTCATCTGCTAATTTTTGAGCAGTTGGCAAAACTTCTGTGTGGTGCACTGTGATCAAATACTGTACAAACTTTTGCAGTTGGTCTCTATTCATTTGAAAGAGAGTCTCTGAAATGGGAAGATGCAGTTTGACCTGATCTGGCTTGCGGATGCGGTATAAAGACAGTGCCACAACATGGGCACAATAAAATATGTCCTTGTTTCCACAGCTGCAGGTCACTGAGGTAATCTTGCAACGATCAAAGCTGATGGCCACGTTGCAAACAGTTTCTGGCTCCGATTGTATTGCAGGTTCTGTCACTGTGCCGCTCAAGTGGAAACCTTGAGGGTGAAAGAAAGAAAGGGAGGGTTTAGCTTCTGCATTCACATGCCATGAAATGCTCTAATTCTTTGAAATGTGTGGGACTTGACAGCAGCAAGAAAAAAATATGACAGCCTTTATATTCAAGTAAAAACATTCAGGCCACTAACCACTACTAGCACCAGCACCTTACAGGTTAAAAAAAAAAAATGGTATTCAACAGATATGCTAAAGTATTTTACACAACCATATGAAAACATATATTGCCATACATTACCATCATACCTATAGGAAGTGGTTAGATTACAGCACTCAGAGGCCATCATTACTCTACTCTGAATCGGGGTATACAAGACAATAATCCCCTAGATCAGTGGGATCAGTGGTTTTCTTCTTTTTTCTACTCCTTTTTTAAAGTAGAGTCAGTCAACTCAGCTTTCTTCTCAAAAACAAACTCTCCCCACCTTTATTCTAGGCAGCCACTAGCTGGCCCCAACCAACCAATATTGCAACTCTAAGGGGGTCCCTTTCACAAACTTTGACCAGAGAAATTTTTAAATTTAATAATCCTTTCTGTAACATGCATAACGTATATCCCAATACAGCAATGTCTATGAGCAGCAACTGCTTATAGAATTGCAGGGCCCACCAAATCTCATATACACTACCACCTAAGTAACTCATAATGATGATTCTCTTCCATGTCACATACAGAGGAAAGTTATACAGATGTATGGTTATTACACACACACACACACACACACACACACACACACACACACGGTACAAAATTACCAAGGTGGAAAAAGCCTTAAGAGGCCTTATACCTTAAACTTACACCCACACAGAAATCCTCTATGACAGTGGTCCCCAACCTTTTTGGCATCAGAGACCAGTTTTGTGGAAGACAATTAGATAATTTCCCATGGATGGGGGAAGGGGATGGTTTCAGGATGAAAATTCTACTGTTCCACCTCAGATCATCAGGCATTAGATTCTAATAAGGAGCATGCAACCTAGATCCCTCACACGTCCAATTCCCAATAGGGTTTGCGCTCCTATGAGAATCTAAGTCCACCGGTACTGGTCCACGGCCCAGGGTTGGGGGACCCCTGCTCTATGAGCTCCATGACCAATGGCCGTTTTGCTGCCTATAATGGTCCACACATGAGGCATTCACCCAGCCCCGGTGGCCATTTCCCCTTGGACAGCACTAGCTACAGCTTACTGCCTTCTACCACCACCGCCCACCAGGCAGTCCTGACCGGCTTGGCCAGAGGACAACTCCTCCATGCTCTCTTTCCCTACATTGCAGAGGAAGGCTGTCCTAAACTGGGGTGGATGGTAAGGGGGAGCATCCATTCAATCCCAACCTCTCTCTCTCTCAAAGCCATAAACAGTGGCCAAGGATAAGCCTGAAGGGAGTAAGAAGAATATAGTTTTGGGAACCTCCACGACTCAGACTGACCTCAGGATTTCAGGTGCCTGAAACTTGAATGCTACACAGTGAAGCCCTGGGCTCTTTCCCAGCCTTCCTCTATTGATGCTACTTTAATAAAATTCATCTAGCTGGCCACTGTTTCTTCCAGTTCCCCTTCATTCACAAAGAAAAGGATTGCTACCATGTGGGGACTCCGGAAGGGGTGGTGCACATGGAGCTGCAGAGGTAAAATTCAAGAATGACGGCCAGACAATGGTAAGGGTTTACACACAGGACATCTGAACCCCGCTTACTGTCTTCCCCTGCAGAGTCCACCCAGGTCAGACAGTTGAAAGAAATGCTACTCCTAAGAAATCTTTCAGAGGTAATATAATTTCACCTTGATCATTCTCAGCAACATTTAGTAAAATGAGAAAGGTGTTGCAATAATCTTTATCAAATGCACCAATGAAAAAAGAGCATTCCCTAAAAACAAGTCACTATTACTGCTTCACAATAAGAAATTTTGAGAATTGTCATATAATAATCTTTGGTTTTCTTCCACAAATATTTTGTTTCAGAATGGATATTCCAGTCTCCTTTATGTCTTTTAATCAACTTTTTCTGAAAAACCACAATTAAAGAAAGGGTACATAGTAAATATTCTAAAATTTTTAAATATCTATGTTCCCATAAAGAAAAAGTCACATGAAAAAGTAAACACTCCAGCAAATCTCAAAAATGAATAACAAAGGCAGCCTTGCTGTAATATATGCAGATGTAATATAAACCCACAATAATTAAAAATTCTTGGGACAGGCACAGATCAAGACAAGAAAATTACCAAGGGATCATAAGAGAGAGTCTGGAAAGTTCCCAAGCACATTCTGTGCATTTAGTTCAAGGCAAACTCTTGTTTTCCACCTGTCATATATGTACTTGCACAGGCAAACCAGTTAATAGCAAAACTGACCATTTATAAAATCAGTCTCTTCCCACTTAACACTGTCACATTTCTCTTCACCAACCAACTCAGTGTCTTTGTCTCTCTGCAAAAGTGATATTGGAGATAACATTTTCTCCATCCCCACACCTTGAAGATGGAGAACGATTCTAATCACAGGCAAAGCCAAGACAATTAAGGATCCAAGAGTTAAACCAGTTAGTACTTAAAGAGTCTACCCGGCTTTTGCTGCTGCTGCTTTTGGTGTTTTAGACATGAAGTCTTCGCCCATGCCTATGTCCTGAATGGTACTACCTAGGTTTTCCTCTAGGATTTTTATGGTATTAGGTCTAACATTTAAGCCAAAATTGACAAATGGGATCTAATTAAACTAAAGAGCTTTTGCACAGCAAAAGAAACTACCATCAGAGTGAACAGGCAACCTACAGAATGGGAGAAAATTTTTGCAATCTACTCATCTGACAAAG